TGAGAAACTTCAGAAGTTCGAACTGGACTAGCAGCTTATCCGCCAAGGAGCCTTCATTTGTTGACATAGTTCACATCATCAAATACCTCGACTCGACTAATTAACCTCGATTTTGCCGAACGATTAGGTTATCTGGAACTATGTCATGACTTTTATCTATCATTGCCTGAATTCTCACCTTGTGCGTTTAATTTCGATAATTTCTTGCACCACAGTTCTACGAAGGACTGGATGGAGACTCTCGGCTCCTCTCCATTGTTTTAGCGCCTTAGTCGGGCTGTAGTTGATACAGTGAAGGAAAAGAGGCGCGAATATCAACTCTCATGGCCCAGTCATCGAGCTCGCTCATCACAACCAGTTTCTAGCCTTGTTGAAATTGGTTGTTTTCAAGGAACTCGAAAACGTTGACTATTTAGATGTAAACGTTCGTTTTTTCTTATCCCTCCCGCCTACTAATTGTTTGGGCGGTGCACACATTTCTTTTATATGCAATTTTGAATATGGTGAAGAAAATGTGATATAATTAGTAGAAAAGGTGAAAATGTTTTGCCTTCGTTATAAAGGGACCAGTGCTTTTGTAAAACCCGAGGGAAGATGGGGAAGCCAAGTGCCTTGGCGCAAACGCAGGGTCTTCTTTTTTGCAGCTCTATAATTTAGGGATTTATCTTTTTCCATGGGCGGAAGTGGTGCAGTGGCAAGTGGAGCGCTTACCACGGGGATCAAATCCTGGGTCGTGAGTCGCCCGGGCCAACCAAGCCTTCCATCCCTCCGGGGTCGGTTAATTGGTACCAGACTTGTCTGGGAGGATAAAAACACTGACTTGTACATCGGCTGGCCCCCCAAGTCCAATACGAATGTACAAATGGAAGTAGAAAGTAGAATGCGTTGTTTGAATGCATCCCAAAAAGGTATTGATCACCAACAAATATTTGTCCTATCATCCTTTCATATTCTTCTATCGTGGCTGATCCGGTAAAAGTACTGCCAAAATAAGCAAAACCCTTACCTTCGAGATACGAAGCCCGTTATAGCATAGATTATGGCTTGGTCCCCTTTTATAATAAGATTTGAAGAATAAGAGAGTTAACCAGAAATTACTTAAAGGCACGAGTCGGGATTGAATTGATGCGTTATTTTGTTCAAACATTAGGCAAGGGGTGCAATGAGGAACATTAGTGAGGAGAAAAAGCAAAAAGCACCATAGAAAACACTAAATTTCCCTTAGGAGGCCGGCCGTAGTACGACGGAGAGACACAGCGCTGCGAGGAGAGGGAGAACGCGAGATAGTACGTCATACGCGAGAGGACGCAGAGACCACGTATGCCGTGGTGGATTACGCTGGCAGCGCGGGCAGCGCGGCGCAGCGCGAGGCCTTAGCGCCTTGCCGCGCACTTTTGGGTCGCGATAGTGTCGCGTCGTTAGTGCTTGGAGGAGCCCTATCTACCCGGAAGAACATTTGCTTGGTACCCTATCCTGAATCGTGGCTTTAATGTGCTAGGAAACCAGTGCAGCTTTAGAGAAATCTGGGCTAATCATCAAAAGTACTTTATCCAAGCCAAATAATGTGTGAAAAGTTGTTCAAATACATCATTCTCTCCATCAGTTGTACCATTAGGTAACTGGCACCATGAAACCCAAAGAGTAAGATCCCTGTGTATTCAGTTGTTTAGTATATGCATTCACTCCGACGTCCAACCGCCATAGCTCACTTTTGGTTTTTGTCAAGTGAATTTCACCGGTTGCTTGTTTTGCTAACAATTTTCTTTGTTTTGATGAATTACTAACGATATCGATTTCAGTTGCCATCCACCCCTAGCGCTAAGGAAGGCGGTCATCCGGAAAAAGAGGTGCAATCTAGCAGACGATCGAGAAGAATGGAAAAAGAGGTGGGATTTTTCTCCGAATTTTTTATATAAGATTTTTTCAACAAAATTTCACTTGCTCTCCCCTCACCTCACTGCACTATCGATCGATTTTTGCAAGGGTGCTGTAGCAAAATACTGGACATTACCTAGGATTAAGCTTAGGAACAGGCAGGAACTTGGAGGAAATGACAGTTGCTCTCGCAACCTGAGTCTTTCCCCTGCTCTAGACTTTGTCGCGTTTTTACCTCAAGAAGGAGATGTTTTATATGGTTTTAACATAGTATTTGCGTGCGTATAATTCCCCGTAATTTGCGATAGCTCAACGGGCGCCTTTTTGATAGAAGCACGGAAATCCGAATTTGCAGTACTGGCTAATTAGTGGATAGAGGATTTCGTAGAATTGTGATCGCTGTTATCTGTCGCTTTATGTCGCCCACTGGACGATCACGACTTGCCACAGTTAACTACGTGTGGATGGGTGAAGCATATGTGTTGTAGGATCTGGGTCCCAGGAGGCCCGTCGCGCGGCAAGAAGGCAGAGTCGGCGGACGAGTTGCAGCGCGTGGTGTGCGATGTAGGACGTGCAGTGGGACACTCTATTTAACTTGACGCGAAATCCCTATAGTACGCGCGCGACTCGTCCGCTGACTTTGCCTTCTTGCCGCGCGACGGGCCTCCTGGGGGTACCCGGAACTTCATGTAAGAGCGCGTGGGACAAATAATACGACGTCACGGTTTCCGTACCAGCTTAGGGTTCAGCTGCACTGCATTTCGACCTTCAATAAAGTAGAGAATCACAAGAGGTGTATTTTTTGGAAGGCGGACTCATAGCATGCAGCCTTCGAAGAAATCTATTATTATTGGCTCTTAATTGATTGCCGTCACCATGTATTTTAGTTACTTTGACATCAGACTGACATCAGTAAAATCAAAACACCGTGATATCAATTTTTTGGTGGCGAGATTGACACACTATGTCCGGCAATGCGACCAGTCAGCCAGCCGGAAATACAAGTACTTCTAATTTTGTCTCGTGCTCGTGAGTAAAATCGGCTCCCCACTTTCTTCACGATTTGGGGCGCGGCCGCGGCAAACCCGGCCGAGTATGCGCCATCAGCTTACCTGAGTATTCGACGTTACATTACGGCATCAGCTTGCCTGAGTATTCGACGTTACATTGCGATACGTAATGTAACGTGATGGCGCAATACGCAGGTAAGCTGCGGCGCGCCCCAAATTGTGAAATGGGGGAAAGCCAGGACATACACAAATTCGACTTTGATTTACCATATTATTCTGCCTTGACTGGTGAGGGCAGTCACTCTGATGCGTTTTCGTTTGCACTTGAGTGACTGTTTGAATTTTTCTGATAATCAATTCCAATAAGCAGGTAACAATCATTATTGTTAAGGACAGCGCAGTGGCAAAGGGCGCCACTGTTGAGGGTAATCATTCGACTAGCTCATCACTTCAATCCTCGACCCACTCAAAGCAGGTCCCTCACGCCAACGAGGTCGGTGAAATTGTGTCAGAGATTGGTGTGAGGTGCATGATGATGTGAAGTGAAAATTGAAAAAAAGGCCAGAATTTGTAAATTCCCTACAAGTCGCTTTTACGGTTTTGAATGAAATGTTAATGCATGGCGCATCCATTCATCATCCATTCCGGTATTTGTGAATCTGCATGACTTATCGTAGCCTTTTCTTTTAGTACTTTTATTTAAGTAATAGCAGAGGCTGAGCAAACGCTGTCGTAAATTTGAATTGATAGTTTCCTGTAGATGTAGTTGTAATTATTTGTAGTGAAGCCTCTGAGAGCGTCATTTTTTCAGACGGTGCTGGCGTTCTTTTTTTTGGGAGAAAAAGTCTGTTCCCTGCAAGTCTTTCGTTTTGGGAGACGAAAGTAGTACGAAAAAGACAGGGCTGTTCATAAGAAAAACAGGGAGATGCTTGCGATCCTGTAGCATGGGTATTCATTGCTGTAGAAGAGGTGTAAGAAGTTGCGCTATAAATTATAGTGACGTGCTCCCTAAAGAGTCCTCCAATTCGCTTCCAACTCTTAGAGAGTCGGGACAAGCGTGGATAGAGTCAGGAGGGGGAGGAGAATAATATGTGCTGGCGTGGCGTGCACCAAGTGAGGCAGGTTCTGCCAATTCTATCGCTCGGTTCTAGAAAATCACAAGACAGGTTAAAGTTGTAGCGGAGGGCAAAGCGAGAAAAGGTCAAATGCTGTTGGTGGGCGGGACGTGAGCCGGAATAGGCGAAGTTGCCCACGATTTATAAATCGTTCAGAGGAAGTCCAAAGACCAGAAAAAATTGGGTAATGGTAGAGGAAGGAGGAAAGGTCAAAAGCCACGTGTGTAGGGCATGCAACGCAATGGGTGTAGCTAAAATCCCAAGTCGCAATATGGTCTAAACATAGCACGGATACCGAGAAGAAAGCGGATGGAGTCTAGCTCAGCAGACAGCCCTATTTGCGCGTGTCGGGACAATTTGATAATTTTTGTCTCCCCGCTCATTTCACCGAGTTGTGTTGAACGTGCAACAGCGCGCGGCGCCAACCGTTTCACAGAAAGCGCGACTTGCTCTGTAATCCAGAAAAACACTTCGTTGCGTGAGCAAATCGTGTCGTCGAGGATGATAAGCGATGTCAGACTTTGCGAATCGCGCGATTCGCTACTAGCGATTCGCTAGCGTCCGCGGTCGCGTTGCGGTACCAGCCAATTGAGTGATTCACTGGCCGCGACGCGACCGCAGACGCTAGCGAATCGCGCGATTCGCAAAGTCTGACATCGGCCTAGAAGAGTGTAAGAGCGGATCACTGCAGATGTGACGTTCAGAATTACTTGGGAGCATGAGCGGTAAAGTGCGCAAGTACCTCATTGCTTGTAATGAAAGAGCGCCAGGAAAATCATTCGAAGCAGCAATGAGGTGGCTCACATCAAATAAGCCTGATGAAAACTGGACAATCCTTCCTTTAGAAAGCGAAAAGGCGCGCGTAATACGCGATGTTAAAGGTTTTTGGCAACACGAGAAATCTCTTTGTGGGCATCTTTATGTAATTCTAATTGATTGTATCATATCGATTGGCATATTCTATAATGGTCATGTAGATTCTCTGTTTTTATAAAGATGCATGAACCCAGCATCATACGCTTTCTGCTTTTTCGCAGAAAAGGTAATTGGAATCGACATCCATCAGCGACCAGTATTCCTCAAATAATTGCCCTAGTAGCTGTCTAGCATCGGTCCTGCTCGCCTTAATCGCTCACCAGTGTCGTCAGCTTACCAGGAAGGTCTTTCAGGGTGCCAAGCTTTTTCAAAACGGTCTTTTGCATGATATAGGGGCACATGCGGGAACCACAGAACCATGGTTAATTTTTCCTGAACGGCCCTCTGAATACCAGAAAAGGGGGTCCCTAGTCACACCTTTTCACCAGTTTTTCAATCAAAGTCTATTTGTAAGGGTTACTGACGGTCCTAATCAATATGGTACTAATTATTCATGCTAACTCCATTTTGCGCGAATTTGGAAACGTCAACACGAAATGCAAAAATTTGTCACGCGAGGAATCGAACTAGGGACCCCTTTTCTGGTCAGAGGGGCCGTTCAGGAAAAATGAACCATGCTTCTGTGGTCCCCATATGTGCCCCAATGTCATGCAAGAAACCATTTTGAAAAAGCTTGGCACACCCTGAACGACCTCCCTTGTAGGCATGAAATTTTGGGCACATCTCACCCTTTTGATAGCCGGTTTCATTATTACGAGTGCACGTACCAACCTATAACTCTTTCACAGCAATCTCGGCTTCGAATTTTCTCCGCTGTGGAGCAAACGAGCGGACGAAAACCCAGTGAAGTACACCAAAAGAAACCACACAATGCTAAAACGCTAAACCTCTGGTATGATAAAGCAAAAGTGAAAGTAACGGTCGAAGGCATCAGCCAAGGAAATTGTGCTGCATAACTAGGTGATGAATGGACCAAGACAATGCCAAGTACATATCCGCGATATACACCATGCGAAAGCGAGCAAGAGCGTTTAGTGATAGAGATGACATTCAGTGGGGTGGCCTAAAACAACGAACATAAAGCAGGAATAGTCGGCAGCGGCGTAAAAAGCAGTAGAGTGCATGGTGAGTTACAGGAACTTCAAAGTACGGTAGTCGTAATCACACTAGCAACAGATCGGGCTGAAAAAAATATGACCTTCATCAACCCCTAGGCAGCCATTTGTGATCCACAGTACTCTTGTTGGTATTCCTCAAATGGCAAGTATTTGTCGAATATTAATTACTACTTCGATCTATGTCCGATTTCAGCCACCACCGCCTCCGAAATTTCCCTTAAAACCAAAACCACCATCAAAACACCAGTTGCTCATGGAACAAATCAAGGTGAGTTGCAATTATGAGTGGTTTCATTGAACACCTTTCAACTGCTGTGGCCATTTCACGGCCTACCTGGCGTGGCGAATAGATTTACTTGGAATGTGTTTCTCCATACCCTGAATAGTCGATGCTAGGACATGTTTTTGACTGATTGGCGGCTTTTCAAAGTTTTTTTTGCACCGGCAATTTCTTAGGCGGCAGGTTTTCTTTTACAGTGGCAGTTACTGCAGGATGAATAGCCTGTCTGATCATGTTTTCCGGTAATCACAGAAATCTTGACTGCAGAAACAAATCCATCGAACAAAATCGCGACACATGACGGAACAACAGCATCCCTTTCAATAAATAAATTTACGAGAAAATATTGGTTCCTGTGGGTAACCACACAGCACTCAGTCGTGAGCAGGTGAAACAGATTACGGCTGGCTATCAGTTAAGAAACAGGTGGAGCGGGCCCGAGAGAACAGAAGCGCCCCTGTCGTCACAGTTAGAAGTGCAGAACACTGACGGATCAAACTACTAACTGTTAGAAAAGCTTTTCCAACAAACTTTAAAGTAAGCGGTCTTGAGTAGGGGAACATTGTGCTTGCAGGATGCATGGCGCATCCTATAGTTTGTTCTCGGCATGCTTGGCGAAGGTTAATTGCCGTCATAATTGAGTATGCACTCATGGTTAGTGAATAGTTGGCCACACTGGATCTCTACTTTAACCTTTTCTAGGTTCATTGATCCTTCCCAAAATTATTTGGTGTATCTAGGGAAATAAGGTGTTTAAATTTGGAACCGCCCAATTGGAGGGGTTCGCAACATCGCCTACGCCCTATTACACCCTTACCACTGAACATTAGTTTTTCCTTTTTCTCTCAAAAAAAGCCTGTTGGTGAAAAAATCTGCCAGCGGGAGCGAATTCACTTCAGTACATGCTATCGCTTCCAGGCCGTTATACAGAGCCCTCACATGGGGGGGGGGGGCGATTGCGTGACGCACCTAGCAACCTCACTGTTTTGTCCTCTCAAGATCTTTTCTAAATTTATTGTTCTAGGCGTTCTATCGAAGCGGACAAGTTGAAGCCGAAGAAGGAGATCAAAGCGCGTGTCTCATTGTTGCCACCACCGAGACCTCCACCACAGCCGCAGAACGAGAACACCACAGGTACCGCCTATTTTCCGAGTTTGCTCCGCCCAGCTTTCTCTGCACTTGAACCATCTTTTTTCTGTTTCCTCTCTATGACTTCCTCATAACTTTTTGTTCGTTGATTTGATGATTATTCTCCTTCTTTCGTCTTTGTGAACTTGTTCCTGTGGCAAAAGACTCTTTTTCGTTTGCGAAATTTTCTTCAGCATGCGGTGCTATCGCAGAAAGAGGACTACTAGAGAAATTGTAATGACATCCAGTCTTCCCTTTCACTTTGCTGCGGCCTTTCTTTCCAAGTATTCATAGAAAAAAATACAATAAAAAGGTCTTGGATAAATGTTTTTTTTTGCGCGTAGTACACTTTACACTTCTGATTTCGCGCCTCTACTTCTCATTTCTCGGTTTTCATTTGTATTGGTCAACTGCCTTCCTCATCCCTCGGATACGTTCCTTTTTTTGGATTTTTCACTTATATGCTCGTATATTCATTTCCTTATTCAATTGGAAGGAATTTGGACTCGTAATTGCTCAAATCGTGATTTGCCAGAAATCCTACAAAACCTATTAAATAAATTTAACCCTTAGACGACCGCTTGGCCTACTGACGGACCACACTTTCAGGAGCTTCTTATGGCAATGTATTTAATATTTTTCCTTCTGGAAGCAGTCCATTAACATTATAGGGTTCAGAAAACAACGTATTC